ATATATATATACACACACACACACACACACATATGCAAATATATGCATATATGCAAAATAGAAGGTAGGTAGAAAAATGGGAAGTAAAGAGAAATTCAAATTATTCCCATTATCTATTACATTGTTTCAAAACTATTTTAATATATATGCTAATTTGTTTTCATTTGTACTTCTAATAGGTTCTCTTAGTTCATTTAAAAGCAAATTTTCTATTATTCATTTCTTTTTTGCATTGGATTTTTGAGACAGGGTCTCACAATGTAATTGAGACTGACCTGGAACTCACTTTGTAGTCCAGGCTGGTCTTGAACTCACAATGATCCTCCTACCTCAGCCTCCCGAGTGCTGGAATGACAAGCATGTGCCACCATGCCTGGCCCCATTTCTTTTTTATAAAACAAGTCTTTCTTTTTTTGTCTATGACTTGTGCTCTGAGTAACACTGTAGCCATTCTTTTAAGATTACAGTATACAGAGTATTCATTATTGTTCTTCTCTGATTTGTGGTCAACTCTGGTTTTATTTTTTCATAGAAGTAAGAAGTGTGCATTTTATATTTTCTTTATTAATTCTACTTGGGTTACATCACATTAAAATAAAAACACACTTAGGAGTAGTGGCAGTGGCTTAATATCACAAGACATTTCTCTGCTCCCTTGTGCAACTGTTGCAAATGCCCTGATTTCAGGCTCAGGAAGTTCTCCTCAACAGAGCCTTGCGAGACAGTGGACTCTCGGGATTGGAAAATGTAAGAAAGTATTGCATACATGCTGAGGAACAGGGCAGAGGATGTTAACTAATTTATCTTTTCTTTCACCTCCAGCATCACTCAAATCCTCCTGAGCCTTGAAGCCACGTCCCTCTCCTCCATCAGTAGAGGCATCACTGCAAAGCCTGGGGACATTTGGCGGCCTGGGGTTCCAGGTGAGAGCGCCACTGTGGGGAACTGTTTCCCTGGGTATGACCGACGTGGGTCATAAAAAAGAGGATCTGCAGGGCTGTGGATCGCTTGGTCTTAGAACCAGACACCAGATCCCAAGGGACACGTGCGCTTAGGTGTCACTTAATAAACTCTGTGGGTGTGTGTGGCTTGGGTGTGCGGGGCTCTGAATCCCTGGATTCTGAGCAGGAGCCTCAGCGGTCCAGGTCCATGATGGCGCTGTCCCCACACAACGCCAGCTTCTCCTTGGAACAAACAGTATCTGGAACCTGTCCCCACCATCAGCGGCCACCCCTGGCCTCTCAGGTGGAGACCCGACCTTGACACTTGCTTTTCTTTCCACTGCGGACAAAGCGACCCTTCCAAGAGCAAGATGACCCCACACACTTCAACTGTCCTGAGTCTCTGCAGCACCGCTGTGGCCTACAAAGGACTGGGCCTGCCTTCTAGGGTGCCAATGGGCTCCTGCTGCCTTCTGCAAAGTCTGCTCTGGACCCTCCGACGCTACTGCAGCCCCAGCAGCACAAGGATGCCTGTGCCCAGGTACAAAGGCTCTCACCTGCCCTCCTCAGCAACAGCATTTTCCCAAGGCTCAACTCAGAGCAAAGCTGAGGCAAAACACAGAGGAAGAAGAGCAGGGCAGAGATGTCGTTCTGACAACAACATGAAGAAAGATGTACTTGGCCATTCCCAAATTGAGACAGAATTCATGATCATTAGTGTTTTGGCTTTGTCTTGTTTTTCTTTCCTCCATTTGGGTGAAAAACTTTTTAAAAAATCAATTTTACGGAATTAGAATAAATAAAAGGAGAAGCACGTACCTTAGGATTCTAGTTCAGCGAGTCCTCACGAGTGCACACCCGTATGGTGCCTCACAGCCAAGAGCTGAACACAACCTGCCCATCGGAGCCTCTCTAGGGCCCTCCGCAGTCAGGCCGCCACTGCCGCCATCACAGAGGGTTGGGCTGGTCTAGAACTTCCCATGAACGGAATCACCCCGGACCTGCTCTGGCCTGTTGGCCTCTTGCTCAGTGTGTCTGCAACTGCTCTGTGCTGGTGTTTGCATTGGAGACTCAGCCCTTCTCAATGCCATGTCATCCACTTGTACGAACACAACAATTCATTCCTCCATTTTCCTGTCGATCGGCTTTGGGATCTTCTCTATTTTGGGGCTCTTCTGAATAATGCTGCTGTGAACATTCATATTCAAGCTAGGATGTCATTTTAAAAGTCATTCTGGTCACACCGATGCTTATCACAAGAGGAAAAATTAGAATACAGAATTCTATAGATGTAGAGCCGGGTGTGGTGGCGCACGCCTGCAATCCCAGCACTCGGGGGGCTGAGGCAGGAGGATCACCGTGAGTTTGAGACCAGCCTGGGCTGTGAGTTCAAGGCCAGCTCAAAGTATGTAGTGAGACACTGTCTCAAAAACTAAAAGCAAAGCAAAACAAAACCAAAGCTGTAGCTATAAAGGGAATCACTGTGTTCACTAGAATATAGTAAGGGAATGAAAAGCTATGCATCATTAAAACTCTAATCACAATCTTTGACAAAGGAGCCAACCATCCTCACTGGAGGAAAGATAGCCTCTTTGATAAATGGTGTTGGAAAAAACGACTTCAACCTGCCAAAGATTAAAACTCCCTATGATGAATGTAGAATTGGGTACTATAAACATATACTGATAAAAATAAAAATCAATAAAAACAAAATCCTAACCACAGACACAATGAAACATGAAAAACTATTGCACAGATATGAAACCAACACAAATGAATTGTAACATCCCATCATAATATTTATCGACAGTACTTGTATCTACCTGTGGATACTGGTATCTGTGGCCCCATCAGGTAGAAATGCAAATAGGAAATGAAATCCATCCCTTCCCCAGGGTTCACTGGGTGCTGGCCACTGTCCTGGACTGGGAATCGGATGTGTTTGAAGAGGAGCAGAGGGGGTAGTGCCCTGTTCCAGGGCCAGGGTGGGGCAACTGTGAGATGATTTCCCATTTTCCTACCGGGAGAAGCTTCCGGATCACACTCACTGGAGTTGACACGGGACTTGGCTGCTCCTTTTTGGAAATGTCCTGGCCTCCAGCGCCAGGCAGGGCCCTGTGAACCTTTGTTCTTATACAGTGGTGAGAACACACAGCTGGAATCCAGTTCACATTTGCTTCCATGCTCACCGTGACTCCAAACTGCTCCCCCAAAACATCACAGCTCACGTCAGCCTGGGAACTCTCTGAGGTGCCTTCTGATCTGATTCCTGGCTGGGTCGCCCTCTGGCCTTGCAGCCCCATGGACACGAGTGGGATGGGAAGAGAGTTGGTTGGGCAGGGGACTATGGCCCAGCCGACATGATAACTAAGAGCACAGCAGCCCCAGACCCAACTGGACTTTGAATAAGAGGACTCTCCAGAGGCTGGGGATTTAGCTGGTACCAAAA